ACTATGCTAAAGACAAATTATCAGCAAGTATAAAATGTCTTAGCTCCATCCACTCACGAGTATTTCTCGCATCTGTAAATGTTGGACCAGATCCATCTTTAGTTGGGGTACAGGAAGCATGCCTTACTGGTGAATTGATATTTCTATTTTCAAAGCAAAAACTTGTATTTTAAGAGGAAAACACTCAAGTTTGTTTTACTGCATTACAAACTATTGATGGACAAGTAACAAAAAGAAACCTAAAGCAGTGCCTTACCTGTAAAGGTTGGCCGTTTCTCTGACTCTTGCTTCCAGCATTCTTTCATTAAGTCAGTAATCTCCTCTGGACACTGACCACTGATCTCCTCTATGTCTGGCCTGTTTCCATACATGATGGCAAAACAAATCTGAGAATAATTTATACTATCTGAAAAATAAAATCAGATTCTGATCATGGGTTTTGCTACCTTTCCATGGGTAAAAGAAATACTAAAGAAAGAAAAAATGAAGCAGTTCCCTGTGTGCTTGTGGATATGTAAAAGATTTCAAAGATGTCTGAGTTACAGCTACTACTCTCATATTAATGAATTTGAATCCTCTGCCCTAACTTCCATGGGTTAGAGATTTAATTTAAGATTAATGGATTTACTTTTATATCTAAGACACACCCAGTGTGAGTAGAGTAATGGATTTAGCTCTATAGAACCTGTATCTCAGTTATGCTTCGCACTGGGTACACAAAGTGGCCACACAGGCAATGTTTAGCTATTTAGCAAAAAATCCATTCAAAATTATAAACATTTTACTCTGGAATTTCACAGTTTGCTCCTATTGTTCCATATGAGCACATTAGTGCCTGTTGAGCAATTCGCGCCACACAGCTGAGAAGCAGTAACTGGCTATGTGACTGTTCTGTTAAAAGGAAAACCACGCGTAACTAGTCCACCTCAGAAAATAAAAGTAACATCGAAGATTCCATCTTGGCCTGTGAGAGGTTTATCTAGCTTCTGCCACTGAGTACAGGTTTATGACCCCACCATGTGGATGTGTATAGATCGGGCTCGTGCCATAATTTCAATTTAGATGTTCTTGCCCATGCTTAAAAGTCAGGAGTGATGCAACTAATGCCTCTTACTGGCCATGAGGTGAAGAACAGGAACTGTTCTTAGGCATAGGTGATTTAATCTGCTAATCTTAATTTTATAACTTTAAATGCTTAACATTTGTAACTTAATTTTATGATAGGATCCTTTTGGAAGCAACTTACATTCGTATGGCTCTTTGTTAGCAAAAATTGCCCACATCACTATGCCGAAGCTGTAAACATCTGATTTCTCTCCAGGTTTTATGTGAACATTCCTTAAATGCTCTGGGGCCATATAGAAAAGAGTCCCAGCATTGTTCTGACAAACGCTGTTGATTTGCTTCTGTCGGCCAGTCTCTTCTTGGGTCAGGCGACTCCAGCTCTTACAGGATGCAATGCCGAAATCTGCAATCTGAAAAATGAGACACATCAGAGCTAGCGCCGTGATGAGGAGGAGATAAACAAGTATTTCATGCAGTGCTCAATTTGATAATGAATAGCTGGTAATAACTTCTCTAAAAATGAAACACTGCTAAAAAATGCAACTACAAGAAATGAAAACAAACTATTTGCTTTTTTTTTTTTTTTAATTCCAAATAAAGTATCACTGCCAATAGGTAACCATCAGGCTGAACCTTCATTATTAATTTAACCCACTTGGAATGACTGCACAATGTAAGGAAAAACGAAGTGAAAAATACTGAGGTGGCACCTTGCCTCACTTTCTACTGGCTTTTCTTTTCTCTCTCATTGCCTATAACTAGCTTATTGTCCCTCTGAGTTTCTGAAACTTTGGGCTAAGTTTGAAAGAGATATATTGAGAGGAAAAGGAAAATGTAAGTGACATTCTGCTGAAGAAGCAGGAGTGCAGGTTCATGTCTATAAGTGAGAGGAGGTCTAGTGTGATAGAGAAAGATAGTATGTAAATCTTCCCACATTTGCAGTTTCCTAGAACAACTGTTTCCCTTTATAAACATTGGCAATGTTAGACACATTCAAGCAGATAGATCATAAAACAACTGCCTTAAATTACACTTCTGATCAAGCTCCTTAAGTCTGATCTGATTCTGAATTTGACCCTGGGCTCCAGTTCACTTTGTCATGCAGTGTGATGATAGCCTAGTTTGGTCCTGTCCATATAAGCTGAAACCAAAAAACCCCATCCAATTTACATTTAAAGCAGATCATGATGGTTTGGTGTTTGTTTGGGTGGGCTGGGTTGGCTTTTATTTTTTGCTTGTTATTTTTTGGGGGGGGGGGTGTTGTTTGGTTGTTTTTAAATACAGTTTATATCTCTCATCTGCACACTGCTCGTACTGCACTAGGACTTGCTACTATATTAACCTTGTAAAACAAGTTCTCACTAACTAATGTGAGAGAAATATTAAATGATAGAGCGCTCTTCACAGGAACTTATTCTGTAGTTTCAAATTGTAATGGGGTGATTTTTTTAGCAACTCACCTTGACCAGGGACAGGACATCTGATGAGGACTGCTGCAAATTCTACTCAGGTTTATTCAGCAGTAGGCTCTATATCTATGTGTCTTGATCCAGAAGCCCAGTAAAGTTAATAGAAGGGCTTTGGAACAGGATTATAAACCATTCTTTGAAGTAGACTCCTGCTGCTTTTTTTGTAGCTGCTGGCTGTCATTTAAAAATGATGACTAAGGGAAAAAAGAGGGAGACAAAAGAGGAAAAGGTAATAGGCAAAAGAAGGAAAAGTATAAAGAGGAGGAGGTAAAGGCAGGAGAAGAAATTACAGCAATAAAGAGCAAAAGACCCGATCCATAAGAAATTCTATTTTGTTTCAATCTCTAGGCATAGAGGTTTGTTTTTTCTTTCTAGCTGTATTTTTTTTTTGGTAGTTCATTAATTCTCAACAATATTATTAAATTTTTTTAATACCATTAGTGATTTTCTCACCCCCCCGCCCCCCAGTTGTGGGAAGATTGTGCAGATCTCAGACATTGTATAGGCCACCATACTTCAGTGATCCACTGATAATATTCTCTTAGTGATAGAGTACAATGGAGTTTATCTTCCAATCAGGAAAACTAACCAGTGTGGTCAAACTTGGTTCTTCCAACCAGATCACCAGCTTTCTCCATTTACATTCCAACCAGTACCTTAATGTGGAAGTCTGTGTCCACAAGGATGTTTTCCGGTTTTAGGTCTTTGTGTATGAAGCCTTGCTCATGCAGATAAAGCATTCCTTCTACAATCTCCAGCACAAAACGCCCTTTCAGTGACACAGGCAGTGAGAGCTAAAATAAAGAACAAATACTATCTATTAAAACATGGTATTACAACCACCAAATTAAAAAACAGTCTTTAAAAAAGTTTCTTTCTCAGTCCCAAGAGAACCTCTGCTCAAGCCATGGTAAAAAAGAACTAAGGTCCTTCTTAAATCTAGATTTAAAACAATTCTAGAGTCACTCCATATTTACAGAAGCAGTTTTCTTTAGCAAATTCTCCACACTCCTGTAACTTTGAACCTATAACTGTGGTCTGCTCTCTTGTGATGCACAGGAAAGTCACAGTTCTCCAGAGAAGGCAGGGCTGCCACTGGCTCTAATACGGAAAGGAAAATGAGAATCTAAAGACTCCATTCTCTGGAGATAGCAGCAACATCCTGTCCCTTTCAAGTATCTTATCAACCCTAAGGAAGAGCAAGGGATGAAGCAATTCACTGCTCACTTTCTGTAGCACTTTCATCATGTTCTCCCGTTTCACATACTCCATCACAAGTGAGTAGTTTCCATCTTCCATAATGACACCTAGTAGTTTTACCACACGCTCATGCTGCAGTCTGTGCATAATCCTGCCTTCTTCAAGGAGAGAAGCATTATAACTGTAAAACAGAAATGATGCTGAACTTAGGTGCCGGGCTAAAAAGAACACAGGGATGAAAATACTGTTGATTCATAAGGAAAACAATGGCCATAAATGTCAACATCCCTAGATCCACTGTAAGATGAACCACACCTTCCCCTAGTTTTGAATTGATACATCTTTGCTCATGTCAGGTTATATTCTCTAAGTGTCTGCTCAAATGCCTTGCACAGAGACTGTCTGCTCAGCCTGATCTTAAGGCCTGCTTTTCAGAAAGTAAATAAGCATCCTGAACTGGGGTGGGATCAGATCAGGGCTGAAAGTCTTTGGAGAAGAGCATCAAATCACTCCACTACCTCTTGTACAGGGCCCAAAGGGCTGGTATTCCTGTTCATATTCAAAACGGATTTATTATGGAGGATCCATCCACATACTGGATCATAACATTTACTAACAATTACTGGCTTAGAATGAATTTTAAGCCCAACTCTTTATCTGGGCTCCAGTACAACCCATCGATAGTCACAGATACAGAGCTAAGGGTGTTAAGAAGGATGGTACCCATTATAATACATAGAAGAAGGGGTAGTATTTTTATGAATGCTTTTGTTTTTGTCATCAGGCAAAAAGATCTAAGAAAATCTTGAGACTATGTTGCTTGCTAATGCTTTCTCCCTCTCTGTTTCTCTGTAGTACTAGAGAAGAAAGTGATTGGTTTGTCTGCATTAGGCTCAGTTATAAATTTGCTTTAGATTTTTGGTTCAATACTTTAAGGAATAATAAACTTATGAGCCTGTGTAGTGAGAAAGAAACACACAAACCCCAAAATAAAGCTGGCAGGCTTGTATGTTTTAACTGTGTTCATCCCAAACTATCACTGCAGTCTGCAAGCTTTCTGCTGGGAAAAAAGAAAAAAAACAAGCCCAAACAAGTAGAACATAACGGTTGGACTTGATGGTCTTAAAGGTCTTTTCCAACCTACTCGATTCTATGGGGTTTTGTCTCTCTCTAGTGGATGACTCATAGGAAAGCTTTAGGAGTGTTACTGCTGTGAGGTAGTAGAGCTGCGATGGGACCTGAATCCACTGAAATTGAGAGCTAATTCAATCCTTGAATTAAAGCAGAGGTTGTGGCTCACTCTGCTTTTTCTCAAGGGAGAGAGTTACATTCCTGGTATTATACATGGGGGGTTGGAATCCTGCTGATTGCTCTTATGTATGTTTTGTTCTTAGTGGACATCTACAGTTGGACAACTATATTGAAAACTGATCTTGCAAGCTTGAAAATATCATGCACCCACCAAGTTCCTGCATTACCTTAGGTATGCAAGAGTCCCTCGATTCTTAACAACTCATAGTAGTGCTAACCTTGCAACAGAAAAGGGGAACCTCACTGAAACAAAGAGTCAAACTTAAAAAGTTAGCTTGTGAGAGAAAAAAGGAATATTTGCAAGAATTTGCTAGTGTTCTCTTAAGAGTATTTTCCTCACATACAGCATCTCCAGAATCCAAAGATCTGAAATTATTACATTTTATTTAGATTTCTCACCAATGAGTTTGGAGGATTCCTTAAAGAAACTGAAAGATACAAATCAGAACTAAGATCTGTAACTCACTCAGTGCGCTGGGGTCCTGTATATACTTTTTTTAATACTACGTCTCCATATTTCTTGTGATGGCATAAAGAAATTGTTCCAAATCCTCCAGCATCTAATTTTCCTTTTTCAAGCAAATCCTGGGTGCTCATACGGATGTCTTCCAGAGACATATTTGCAGTCTTTGTGGCTTAGGTATTAAAACAAAATCAAGTATTTAGTGCTTCTGGACCTGTAGTATAAAGGATGAAAAAGAAGTGTCATTATCAAGCATTTAGCTGTTCCACTAACTACGTGCCTGTGTAAGGCACGGGACTTATACACCTACATACAAATATATACTCCGGTGACCCTTATGAACAAAGGGCCTCAGTTTGAAACCAAAGATGCTGCGGCTCTCACAGGATCAGACCTTAGGATCACAAAGATTTATCCTGTCACCTCATTACAGTTATATTAAATCAATGTAAAAACATTTCTTTACCTGAGGATCTCAAAGTGCTGTTAATAAACAGGTTTTATCCACATAATACATAGCAAATCACTACTGTCACTACACATCACAGTTGCAAAAACTGAAACCCAGAAAAATCAAAGGCTATTGTCCCAAAGGCAGGAAGTGTCATGAGTCTGATAGTTATCTCATTTTCTAAATTGCTTGAACATGGGCCTGTGAGGTGCCCAGTATAACTCTAAGCTACTTCTTACACATCTTTTCAAACACAGCTCTAAAGGTTTGCTTGAAGGTTTAAAACAGAGAAACAAAAGGTTTCTCCTGAACGTGAAACAAGGAACACAGCATATATGGGAAACTTACTTTCACAGCTGTCTAAATCTAAGGAGACAAGCACTAGGAAGGACTGTGGTGGGATATAAGGCAACTTCTCCCCTGTGTTTCAAAAAGAAGAGGAACAAAGAAGTTGTGAAGGCTTGTATTAACTCCTAAGTGCACCAAGAGAAAAAGAGAGCTTGTGGGAGCCTATGAAATGGGTAGACATGTAAAACCCAGTGGATGCCAGAATAATTTTAAGCCTTTGATAAAGCTGTGGTGCTCTCTTGCCTAACATGTCTCTCAGAAGGAAAAACCTTAAAAGAAGGCTAGACAGCTGGTACCTTTGGCACATAGCAGCAAGCTGCCTTCCTAGCACAGGTGCAAACCACAAGCTCTGGTTTTATTTCCCCACTGAACTTTTACCTTGAGCACCTGACATCAGATAAGGAAAGAGTTTGCTGAGAAAAGTCAAAATCCAAGAGACCAGCAGGGCTGCCCAATTTCCATTCCTCTTGGATGACTATGACACAGTTACACAAAGCTGGGAGAAAGGCGCAATCTCAAAGTGCCACTACCAGCAACAGTGGATTTGGCTTACTTTGGTAATTAAGTGCTGTAAATAGTGTGGCAAAGGGATTCCCAATTTTTTCAAACCAACAGGTGACTGCTAATTCCTGTAAACTACTGTGCACCTGCATCATCAAGTCTCTAGTTAAAAGGGTTGCTTAATGTTGTTATCAACATCAGCTGCAGCCTGATTACCACAGCCTCTTTCTGGAGTGTGTGAACTGAGGAGGCAGAGAAAGTATCTATAGAAAGTAGGTGTCTGCAGGAAGGGAGATGTTTATGGGCAGATTTGGGAATTGTCTCCTCAATTCAATACTGACAAGCCAAAATAGGAGATAGTAAACTTAATTAAAATAAACAAAAAAGGTTGTGTCTGTAGAAGAGAGAATACAAGAGCTTCCTCTTCTAAGTGTATATATACCCTATGAGCTGTTGTTGCCTAGATAGTGAACATGCTCTCTTCAGAGTTTTCTTTTTTGGCTTTCTTGGCTTTGAAAGGAGGCAGATTTTGTTTTGCTGGAGTGCTAACCTGCATTATGAGCACAGGAGTGAGGACATGGCTGCATTCGTTTAGTAAGAAGGTAAGCTCTGTTGTGCCCAGTAGTTGTAACAGGAGAGGAGACTTTTGTGTTTTGCTTGTGGGTTTGGTGGGTTTTTTTTGTTTTGTTAGGTTTTCTTGTGTGTTGGGTTTTTTTTTTTTTTTTTTTTTTTTTTCTTTTTTTTTTCTTTAAGTTCCTTTACAGCCGTGCAGCAAAATGACTCATGGTAATGCCAAGAACACTTACTGCTGCTCTTGCTGGTGAACTCTTTGTCTCTCTGGAAGTTTCTGCTGATGGTTCTCTACCTTGCTTGGCTTTCTTGGGGTGGTGCTACTGACTGTTGTGTGGATGGGGTGGGTGCCAGAGGTACAAAGGCGTGAACACAGTTGTGAGGCTTTAGATAACATCTTACTGCTTTGTCTGGTGTCTCCCTTTCAATAATTGGTTCAAAGTCACATATCTATGTTTTTTCATGCTAACAGTAATTATGCATCTAGGTAGTAAGAATTGCACATGCTTTTGCTGTGAATGCAAATTAGATGTGTGTTTTTCGAATGCTGAATCTCTAAAGTGGCATTAAAACTATTGATAGCCTGGGGTTGCTGTTCAATACCACATAACATGACAAAACCCAGCCATCCCTCAAACTGCAATATAGGACCTTGTTCCTACCAAACACCATGTAATCACTGTAATCAGAAGGCTTGGAAATTCAGAAGCAGCAATAACTTCTGAAATCAAAAGACATCTGCTGAAATGAGTTGGGTAACATTCAACAGAAGGAATTTTCTCATAAGGTGGGATGGAACCCTCCTCCTTGGGCATGCTCTACTATTAGGATGCCACTTCTTTTTTCATCATTGGGTAGTGAGGTAGAGTAGTACTCTTTGATCTTAAGACTTATTTCAAACCTGAAGTTTTTTGTTGCTGGGTATCACAGGACAGCAGTCTCTAGCCAGCTTTTCAAGGAAAGACTACTTATTTTGGTATACTACTTAGGGTAAGGTGTTGGCTGACACTGCCTAGAATTGTGAGGTGATAAAGAAATCGAGGAGGGAAGCTCAAAGGCTCATGTTCGTTCTAAGCTTACTGCTCTTTATTGAGATACATGGTAATTCAAATGTATCCTCAAGTACTCAGGATACACCAGTGTAGACATTACATACCTGTTGTTAAGAGAACCGAAGATACAGAATGGTTCTTGTAATTAAGAAATTTTGGTTTAGCCTAACCTTATTTCTAAGGCTTTGTGTTCCATGGTGTTGCTCTAATCTATACATTTGATTGATTATAAACCATTTTTTAATATAGTGTTCAGAACATCTGTATTAGTGTGAGTTAATACTTAACAAGTGCCAACATGTATTATGAGAATATGGCTGCTAGAAGAGATGGATTTTTGCCAATTAACATGTTTGGATTTTCTGTAGAGAGGGATAAAACCATATTAAGTGGGTTTGTGGTATTTTTAACATTGCAGTTATGATCTTTTCTCTAACCCCCAAAGGGCACAGAATCATGACCTGGTCATTACGTCGCACTGCACCCCAGCACCATTCATAAGCGGTTTGCTGTGTTGTAACGATTTGTTACTGATCAGCTGCAGATCTTGTCTTGGCCGCACGGTTAAGGAGGATTGCTGAGCACGTTAGCACGATCATATAAAAAAGATCACGCAGTAATTACAGCCCTTTTGGTCTAATGACACAGCACAGAAGTCCTTGAGAGGTGTTACACGGTATAATTGGAGAAAGTGAACAAGTTTTCAAGCACCAGAACTCGCGGTCACTTAGTTATCAGTCAGGAACTGAAGGGAATAACAAACAGGAACCAAAGCTGGTATGGCCGGTAAGGGTAACAGGAACTTAATAGAAGGGAAAGGACAAAAATACTGCATGCAGAGAAGATGTTTCAAAAGGCTTAGTGCATCTCAACTCTGTTGCTGTAACTCTCACCGACTCAGCCTAAACCTTTCCCTTCCTCTCAGGTTTTTCATCTGCTGCATCTTTTCACTGAGGGGTGTGGGTTTGTTGGTTTTTCTTTCTACTTTTGGAAACGGGGGGAAAAAAGGCACCGATGTCAGATCTGCAGCAGGTTACAGAACGGATCCCGTGGGAACGCGAGGAGAGGCCAAGGCAAACGCGGAAACACGAGAGAGGCTCTGCTTTAGGCAGAAGGCGAACGGCACAGCACCTTCCCGCCCCCACCTTTCCCCGCCC